AGCTCATTAATTTGTTAAATAAATATTAGACAAAAGACTTGTAAATTTATTGACGTACAGTACACTTATTAAATCCGAAAATTCTACGGTAGTTTACATTTAGTAGTAATTTAATAATTAATTAAGAAATGATTTAATATTTTATCGTATTTTGTTATTTGAAAGATCTGTCCTGTTGAAGTAGAGGACATGCTGTGACGTCACATAGAGCCAAGGTCACGCTAACAAATATACGGGATCTGGCTATCCTTGTAGTTTAAAGTCCTTGTGAGATGGCATTAAATTTTCAACGCCATCTGCTGGAGATCGCGTGCATAACCAAAGAGATTACGATCAGCCATCACGTGTGTTTAAAACGAATATAATCATTCGTTAATTTATTTATTTTTGTATCACTTAAATTTAAATAGCCAATCTTCTACCCAAAATTCTTACTAAATTCCTGATTTGTATAATAATACAAACAGCTTTAATTAAAATATTAGCCATGTTAAATAACTTGAAAATATTACAAATGATCAATATTTATGAATGTGAATTTATTTACAGTCGACTCCCCTATAAGATCATAGATACGTTCCATTCTTTAGGAATCCGATTTCTTACGAGTCCTTCCAATCACAGCCCGACACGTGTGAAGTTTACGGACTACGGCTGATTGAAAGGTTTTCTTCCATAAAATTAATCGATTCTAGATTAATCCGACTCAACATTTCCAAAACACGTATAATTTTTTTGGAAATAATCCGTATAAACTACGCTATAAACAAAAAATTGTAGGATTACTTACCGAGTGTGCACCATTCGACATCACCATTGCTCAAGCTTGTTTTCGTCGCGGAACAGCTCAGCAAACAGCGGCCGATTTCTAATAATTTATTTTTCTGCGAAAACTTCGTTAAACTTTGGAAACATCATTAATATATATAATTTTAATCGCCGTTGAATAAGAAATGTTTCTTTTGCAAGAAATGTATAAAATTACAGTATTGTAATTTTATACATTTCTTATAATTAGACTTACGGTACCTAATTTACATACTGTACAGACGATAGTTAGCCTAAACTCTCCGTAGCGTGGCGCTACGCGGCGAAAAATATATATATAATTATAACAAAGTTACAATAAATTAAGTTAATATATAATTATATATACAGTACCTAATTTATATATAATTAATATATAATTATATGTACAGTACCTAATTTATATATAATTATATGTACAGTACCTAATTTATATATAATACTGTACAGACGATAGTAATCTCTGCGTAGCGTGGTGCTTGACAGCGGAAAATAGTTCGGCTGCCCAATGACATTTTACGTAATTATAGGAGTATTTTTTACCGTTTTTTTACGGATACCGTCGCAATTTTTTCGCAGTTTTATAGGAATCGTAATTATAGAAACCCGTTTTATAGGGGGTCTACTGTATTTATTGCCTTTATATATTATAACTTTGGCCCTTTAAATATAAAATTAGAGGATTTTATTTTAAATTCCAAGTTTTGGAGAAACAAGAAAGGACTTTTCCTCGCTTTTATAGCCAATTTAGGGATTAAAAAAGGGAAATTTCCATGCTTTTACAGAAAATTTGGGGATTAATTAATAAAGGACTCGTCCATGCTTTTACGGAAACTTTGGGTGTTTAATTTAGTCGTTAAGAATGGGAATCAGAAAAATGAAACAGCTTCAAATGTGTTATTTGACCATTTCTATGTTAATACACAGTAAATTCACCCAAAACACATTGAAAAGCCCTATTCACATAGAAAGAGCGTGTTTCCTATATCGAATTTATTAAATTTTATGTTTTTTTCCGATTATAGGACAAGACACAAACATAATAATAATATTATATCCACGTCTCGATGTCATTCGGGAGATGTTAATGGTATATTAATGGAAATGGTGGACAGCTCCATTCGAATTCAATTGTGTATGATCCTTTTCATATCGTTTCTATCAGGAAATATCGTTACAACGGAAGATAGGAAACTATTTTTTAAATTAAATTTTAGTTTGAATCGAGAAGAAGAGCAAATTCTGCAATAAATTACCCATTTTGTATCATTCTCTATTTCTAAAAATACGTTCTTTTCATATTTTGTCTTCGTTTGTTACTTAGCAATTGATTTAATATAAAGAATGGAATTCCTATTATTAACTTTTCTAACACTTTTTTTCTTTTTTGAATCTATTTTTTACGAATTTCTTTCATTTTAAACCCTTTAAAATATTCTAAAGTGTAATTTATTTTGGCTTTTATTCACGAAATTCAACTTTTCATCTTCATTACTTTTATTAACAAATTTGATTATTTTCTAATTAAATTTCTATAATATAGGTCAAGGATGTTTTAAAATTGTTTGCTAATTAACTGGACATTGATTAGAAAAAAAATTAATTAAATATAATAAATGCATTGAAATTTTAGAAACGTTGTTTATACTTTTTGCATTGTGTTTGTATATCAAACTCTTTAAGTTACATGGTAATGTTTTCTATACTTTAAACAAACGAAAAGGGGGGTAGAAAATACGTGGCATGTGTATATTTAAAGACTTCGTCCGTCTGTTCGACTTGTTTTGATGTTAATTAAGTACTCGTTAATGTTTTAATTAATTTATAAATGAATTCTTTCGTGAGAGTTTTGTTGCTTTCTTTTGGAAAAGTCGAACGTCTCTCGAGAATTTTATTATTAATTATTCTATTAACAAAAAAAAA